TTGGCTAGTGATCTAAACTCCCTAGTCAGAAAAATGTACTCTGATGAGCTTCATCTGGGTGACCAACATGGTGTAGGCTTCCGTATTGACAACGATGAGCGATTGCTACACCTGGGTAAAGAGGCTCGTCTCTTTCTGGCGAGCAGAAAGTATCGACACCACCCACAGAAAGGTGACTTGGCACACAGCAGCCTCACTTCAGCCATGGAAGGAAATATATCACATCGCGGTTAGTTATGGCTGGAGAGGCGATGCCCAAATCTGTCGCTCGATTTTGAGCAAGAGCGTGCAACCTGAACACGCACTCGTTTGTGCCGACCACTAGGTGCGTGTCGGCGGACATCGGCAACGTCGCTCTTATTACATTGACACCTGTCAACTGGGGAAGCCAGGTGTTCTGAATGCGTATCAAAACACGCTGGCATCCGGGCTGTGTAAACGCCAACTGAACACCGTCGAAAACCACTGGTTGCATATTCGCCAAACCTTACCATCAGCAAACATGTATTCATGTGGCAAATCAATTTGCCAAACTGGACATTGAGTCTCTACAAAGTCTCTGGAACTTATGGATGCCCGCCGACGTATTCCGGCTGGAAGAGAATACAATAAAACTCGTAATAATTTTAGGGCAAAACTGCGTGCAAGCCTAAAGAGAGACCGCGAATTCTGGTACTCATCGTGCCTCGAAAATGGAAACAGCTCCTTCTGTTGATAATCGTCGTAAGTTATTCCGTCTGATACGGGAAACAAGGAGAAAGAAACCTGGAGTTAACGCGACCATACGCGACGAGAGTGGACAGCCGATCCACAGCCTGTGAAAACCTATGAAACGTTCGGCCGAACACTACAAAGCAATTTAGTCAACCTTAGTTCCCATTTCGTTCTTTGTGCATTGAGTGCCCTTCTCCATGGGTCATCGCCTTGGATCCGTCCTCACGCGCAAGTCGAACGTGAAATCAGATTGTTGAAATTGCATACGTCCGCAGAGGTAGATAGAACTCCCCCAGCCCTCTTCGAATTCGGGGGATCTGCTCTTGTGGATGATTTACATGAGTTGATAGTGAAACTTTGAGAGCAAAAGACTATCCTGATAGACTGAAGCCGCTCCGTCACACTCCCGCTCCCGTTCGGAATGCGGCAATCACAGAGGGATCAGTCTGAAACCAACTCCCTCTAAAGTACTTGCGACTGTTGTTCTACATTGGCACTCGTAAAAGCCAGATCCGTAAAGAGCCAGCCGTGTTTCGTCGAGGTCGGGGCTGCATCCACCACATCTTCACTTTGCGTCCATTGTTGTAGTACCGCCATGTTTATTGGCGACCCACCGTTGTCCTGCTTTTCGACATCAAAGTTACCGTCGACTAAGTCGATCAATGTGCCCTTTGCGGCTATCTGCTGAGAATGGTATGTCTGATAAATACGTAAACATTGTCAAAGCGATGTACGCGCATAATTCGGGTAGAATGAGGGTTTATGGCAAAACTGTCGCCGTCCTCCAGTATCTCTAACGGTGTGAGACAAGGTTGCTCGCTGTCACCTTTCCACTTTAAGTTCGTTATTGACGAAGTCATGGAAACAGCGTTCGCTGCACACGACCTATAAGGGGTGGAGCTACTTCCTGGTGAGCGACTTCTTGACTTGGAGTATGCGGAGGATATTGCCCTAATCTGTGACAGCTCTCAAATATGCTAAGCAGTACTGGACCGATTAGCACTGTCTATCGTTTTGATCTATGTTTTGCTCCCCCAAAATGCAAAGTCCTTCTCCAAGATTGACAGGAACCCACCACTGCGCTGACCCTTGGTGGTGATCAGCTAGAAGTCGTTCAGGAATTCAAGTATCTGGGCAGCTATCTTAGCGACCGTGGGTTCAAAGATGAGGTTAGGAACCGTATAGCAGTAGCTCGAGGTGTGTTTTCCTGTCTCCGCCACCTGTGGCACAGACGCGACATCTCTCGCCCTGAAAGGCAGAGTTTATAACGCAAGCGTCTGCTCAACCCTGCTGTACGTTTGCGAAACCTGGCCCATCAGGTCGACAGATATAAAGAGGCTCGTCACGTTCGATCATCGCTGCCCTCGCTGCTTAGCTCATGTCTGGTGGGAGCACCGCGTGAGCAATGAGCGTTCTCTGTATAGTGTATTTGGTCAGGAAGAGCGAGTGAACCGCTCAGCGCCGTTATATCATACACCATGTCATATCATACCATACACCATATCATATATCGTACACCAGGCTTGTTTGGCTGGGCCACGTGTTGTGCATGTCAGCACACCGACTCCTGCGACGTGCATTGTTTGGGCGCCGGGAGTGCGGTTGGAAGAGGAGGAGGGGAGGCCAAGTGATGAATTGGTCGAGAAAAATGAAAACCCTCACTTCGGAACTGGTGTCGGCTGATGTGTCCCGAATTCCTACCTGGGGTCCTAAGGACCATGAACACGTTTGGTTGGACACACTTGCTGATATGGCGAAGAGCCGGCCCCAATGGCTGAGACCGTATTTATGAGCAAGTAGGAAGGTTTGTACAACTCAAGCAAATTATGAAAAATCAAATCATTTACTTGCGAATCGTCAGCGGTAGTGTTTGGTCAGTTAATCGTTTATCTTTGTTTGGTTAGAAATTCGCATGGGTGTCATGATTTTCGGGTATGTCTTCTTTTGGCATCGTATGTGCATCGTTTCACAAAAGCACAGGTTTCCGAAATAATCGTCGATATTTGTTGTAAAACACTTCACAGAATCGGCGTCTATTAATCCTTCTGGTAGTGTATTCCATAAGTTTACGATTTTTCCTTCTATACAAAGTTGATGTGATACTTTGTTCATGCAGACGATCTTGAGTTTGTAACGGTGTCCTCGGGTGTTACAGGGTTCTCGCAGGTGAAATATTGGCCGCAGTATCGGGAAGTGATTCAAGTGTACTACTCGATGGGTCATAATAAGGTCAACTCTTACTCGGCAGTAGGATAGTGTGTAGAGTCCGAACCTTTCACAACGTTTTCATACGGAAGCATTCGTTGACTCGGTATCATTCTAGATGCGGGTATGCTGTATTTTCTCTAGCCTTTCAGTTTCCCACTGGGCTATCGGATGGCAAGCTGTGGCACCGTATTAAAGGATTGGTCTAATGAGCGACGTGAACAGACGACGGACGGTTTAGTCAGACCATGTGGAGAAACTGCGTATTAATGCCCAGAGCATACGAAGTCCCGTACGACACAATTTCTCGGTATTTTCTAGTGATCTCATATCATGTCATGAGAACACTCCTAAGTCTTTGACAGATGTGTTAGGGTGGAGCAACTGGTCGTTCAAGGTGTATGATCGAGTGGCTGGACGAATGGTGATACCGATGAACTCCGACTTGCTTGCGTTAAGAGTGAGTTGCATTTTAGTGGACCACGTTGACACTCGCTCTATGTCATGTTGGAGGCGAGCGCATTCGTCCTAGTTCTCAATGATCCACCTGATTTTCAAATCACCTGCAAACAGGGAACATGGTGACTGGAGCTGCTGCGGAAGGTCGTTGATATGAATAAGAAATAATACTAACCCAAGTACAGTTCCTTCAGGTATGCCACGAGTCGATGGGGACCAGTCTGTCAGGTAATCACTGACCTGTACTCTAAAGTTTCGTCCCACAATAAACTCGTGTAACCACTGAAGTAACATGCCACCGATTCCGTAGGTCCTCAGTTTATGAAGAAGTACCACGTGGTTCACTCTGTCAAACGTCTTACTAAAGTCGATATACACCACGTCAACATCCTTCTGTTCATTGAGAGCTCATACCCACTGGTGGTTTGTGTACATCAAGTTGGTGATGCAGGATCGCCCTTTCGTAAAGCTGTGTTGCGCTGGTGTCAACAGGTTCATCGGTTCGAAGAACGGAAGCAGACACTTTTTCACAACCTTCTCGATAACTTCGGATAATATCGAAGTCAAACAGATCGGTCTATAGTTCTCTATTTTACTCGGATCACCACTCCTGGGTTTTCATCTTTTGACTCTGGTACGTGGAAGACCACGAGAGTATGACGCCTCAGTGAAATTGGTGATGAACCTGTGGGAGCAGAAATAGAGGCGCTTATCTGATTGGGTTGCTGTTTATCAGCAGGGGACGCCTGAACTCGATTACGTGGTCCCTTGCGCTTTTAAGTGGTCCATGGATCCTCGGTGTTCAGAAGTTCACAGACAGACTGAGAAATTCACGGACCGATTGGTGAAGCGGCATTTCGTAGTTTTCGAATGAGTCTTCCATCGGTGAGAAACACTGAACCTGAGGCTCGGAGGGGTCGAAGACACTGGTGGTGGTGCAGATGGCGGAGTGACAAGAGAACGCGAGGTGACAGAGGTACTTTCACTAGGGCGTTTGACCCCACGCAGTGAAGGGTTTGTTTCTATCAGGTAACCAATCTAAAATGTCACGGGGTTTCGGTGCTAATGCAGCGGCCAAGACAGGTGAACTGAGCTACTGACACCGGAACAACATCTTCAAGAGGCAAGTGAGTAGCAATTGATTTGTGGCCATGTAAGAGCGCTTTGTGCTCGAAAAGATGCGAAACGCATGTTCGTAAAAATAAATGAAATAATTAAAGACAGTGCTTATGTGATGTGCGGTCATGAGTTGAAGTTAGGTAGTAACAGATGTGTGGTCAACAGTCCTGTTCTCTTACCGTCAACTGCTACCCATAAACTGCAGTATCCAATGAATTGGTTTCGCTTTCGGAGGGCTACAGACTCATTTCTAACCATTGAAGAAGTGGATAATGAGATCAGTTTCTTTAGCCATGTGACCAGCTACTCTGCAAACACTAAGCGCGCCTGAGTGGAAAAGGAAGCTTGAATAAAGTATCACTATATTGTGACCCAGTCGCAGCATGAGAAAACCCTTACTACGTCATGGCTCCATCGTGCGAAATCGCGCGACAGGAAAAATCTCAAGGTCATGTTATCGGTTACGAGCGAACGAACGAGATATCTGGGTCGAAAAAGGGGCAAGAAGCGGTAAAATTGTATGATTTTTCATTCCGGCATTTCCACATTATCCAAAAATGCAAATAAGGCTACGATATGCATGTATGTACATGGACATATGTACATAAATAAGGCGTAATTATCGGGAAAATGTACGATTATCGCACACGGACAAGCAGATACAAATGGGCTCATATGTACAAAAAAGTACGCCATCTGCAAGTGAACAGGAGATGTCGTGCATCCCGAAGAGCGGTTCCACTTCGGATTAAGAAGCGGAAGAAACCGTGAAAGCCCAACTAGCGGACAAAAGCCAGATGGTTCAATGGCGTTGGGGTGGTTCGAGTGGAAAAAGCCCCCCAGGAGTTTGTACAACGAACATATCTGCACTTGCGAGGTGCGCAATCAAAACATGTACTTCCGATGGCGCTTTTGCTATTTGCTCCGCCTTGCTCGTGTGTTGCAAAACCGGGACTGAAGAATTCATGAGAAAGGAAGGGGAAACCGGAAGTTGGTGTGATAGTACTTCTTATGCAGAAGTGTGAACAGAAACCGTAGAAAGCAAAAAGGAGGAGTAAAACTAGGGAGAAGGGCGAATAGACCTATAGAGGGAATGATGTGCGAGAGTTTCAGGGACGCGCAAGGTCAGCCATCACAGCCATCATGGGGACACTCGAAATGAAGGGGAAAGAAATCAAACGTGTCACACAAACGTCCGTTTTGCAGTACATTCTTCCAATCGGAGACGCTGAATCACCAAAGGCATAAGCTCCAGTCGCCGATGCACGTCCTCCGGAAGAGGGTCTGCGTTTCCATAATATCGCTCCTTGGATTTCTCAAAGCTTGGAGCTTCACCGGGTGCAGGTGGCGGTGTGTACCGAACGCAATTGACCAAAGACTGGTCGTAGGAGAGAACCAGTCGGGCACCGTCGTTGAACTGAACTTGAAGTTCGTCATCAGCTTGTTGCTGAGCCCAGCCTACAGTCGGTACGAAGATTGGCGGCCGATGATCTCGATTCAGTTTCGATCGGACTGTACAGGACACTAATTTGGACAAGCAGGGCGGCAGTGTGTCAGGTGTGCCTGGGTCGGGCACGTTCTGGGAGTCAACGAAGACGTTTTTCGGCTTTCTGCCCAGCACCAGAGGAAAAATGGAGGTGCGTACGGGTTCACAAACCTCGCGAGATATGCTAAACGAGGACAACGTCTGTTCCAACTTCACGCACTGGTCTCTTTGCTGTGGTGCAGAGAGGAAAGTCATACACGCAGGGGATAAATGAAGTAGATTATGATCTCGGAAAGCGTAGTCATAGATAATTAGCGCAACGGAATGCAATGCATAAAACTGTAGCTGCGTAGCGACAAATTTCAGGATATATTAACCGTTCGAATCTTGTTGTTTATCATAAAACGTTTCAATGTGCAACCGAGAGGACCAGAATGAGTTGTTTCTAAATGCCCACTACGAACTATGAAGTGACCTTTTGTGGCATATATGCAAGATGCATAAATTTGATCGTTGCAAGTTGATTTTTGGAATAACGATGACATTCTCATAACAGCTAGTTCGACTAGGCTAGGAGAAAGTGACCAAGGCAAAAGGCAGCGCTGACGCGGACGCACTCTTCTATGCTGTGAGTTCCGCTAATCCGTGGTCGGGTTGAGTCGACACGAGCCTGCTTAAAAAGAGATGAATGGCGAATACAAAATGTTGTAATCGACGAACTTAATCAAGCGCACCGGTAGAAACTAAACGATAAGCAGGTAGGGTCTATCTTTCAACGCATGGTTTCGAGCATAAGCTACTGAGCATAGTGAGTCAAAGATCTAGTTGCAAGCCTCCGAAGGTGCACCACACAAGAACATTGCAGTGGTGTGTGAAAATATGTTCAGAAGTTAAATCGATGGTAAATATATATGTTGGGTACTTGGGACATGACTAAATTAATAAGCGACGTGGGTTTTGTTGGGCAGTTATGGGATGCTGCATTGAAAGTTAGTGGTTTAAAAAATTCCAAGTCGCATTGAAAGCGATATAGTGCTTATTGAAGTCATGTGAGCGTATAGTGAGCTTTTCATTGTTTCTAAAAGCAAATAAAAGCACTCCTGTTTAGTAGAAGCTAGTGACGAGCCTAATACTGAACGAACTAAACGGTTTGGACGATAGCCCAGTTAAGAGACAGAGGTGATGCACTGAACAAAGAAAAACGTACGGTACCATGAAGGCCCACCAACATTAGATAACCACGTCTTGTTGTAAAACGCCATAGGGTGGATGGATTTCAGCATGTTGGATGTAATAAGTGCAAGTAGCTAGGTTAGTGTATCCGAATCCATGGTGAAGGGGTTTACAAACTGGAAATAATGATCTATGAAGTGATTACTGTTTGAGAGTACAAAAAACGCTAAGAAAATTTAAAAAGCAAGGTTTCGTGGGTCACCCACGAGTATAGCATGTCAAGCATATACGCCCTGACAGAAAGTGAGCATGAGAAAGGGCGCGTCCGTCAAAATGCATTCACCCAGCTGACATCCGGTAAGGGAGATATTCAAAACATAACAACAAATCTAAACCAGTTGTTTTGTAAGATACGTCGTATTTTGCATGGCAAAGATTGCTAAAGGTGGTTAATCGTTAAGAAATTCAAAATGATTTGTTAGCTGCTTATTCGGAGCGACGGTTATAGATGGACGGCAACGGATCAATAGTGAAAAAATATTGATGAACCACTGATTAGCTTCTCGACGACAAAGTAAGAGTGAGCAGCAAACTGTTAACCTTACTCTTAATCATTATCGGTTTCAGGGCGACCACTACTAATACGGAACGCCATGCAACGGCCCCACAGGCAATTTCAACTCGCTCCATGAGAACAGTTAGGTGAGAATAAGTGGTAACTATGGAAACCGCACGAATCCGAAACATGGTAGACTCATTGTGTGTGTTAGTCCAGCTAGTTTCCTAGCTGGGTAAAGCGTGAGCTTAATAGATGGACCATATGCCGGGGTATTAGCTAATAGCTACACGAGATGCAACATCATTATAACTGAACTAGTTGATAGGGGAACAGTGTCTGTCAGGTGGTTATGCAGTGTGGCCACCACGACGATTACCAGTGGATTGGAGCATCCTCTTGAAGAAGGGAAAGTGACCCATTAGGCCGGAGATGGACGGAATGTAGACACTATAGTTCACAGCTGGATGCTGCACGCAATCTACCGTTGCGAATTCGACCCTAAGGTGACTCATTCTAAATGACTGGGGAGGTGAGTCGAAAGGATGTAACTTTTAAGGTACGTACCACGCCCAATCCGGGCAACGGGGTCAAGACCACTGGGAAGCCGAAGATGCAAAGTTTGCAAGTCCGATGAGCTTGGCTCATTGTGAATGCCGCTCATTCATCGATGAAAATAAAGTCGATTAGACGGCGTGAGACAGTAACAATGAAAGAGGTGTAACGAACAAGGCTCCCTGTGTGAGGCAGTGAACGAAGAAAGAAGGGACAAAGTGTATTCATATACCCAGAGAGGTGGCACCCTCGTCCAGTTTTGTTGACTGCTCTCTATCAATGAAATAAAACGCTTTAGTCCACGAAAAATGGGACATGTTTCCTCACACTGTGGGAAAGACAGCATTACCCGACTTAGTTTACTCACTACCCAAAAATAAGGTCAACAACGGTGTAGCGTAGCATAAAATCAGTCAGCTGACACAACCTAACTGCTGTTTGTAATTTCCGTTGCGTTTACGCTTGGTATGGCTTCTTGGAACGAACGACCGCCGAATCGATTATTCGAATAACCATTTCGCACATTCGAAAAACAACCGTTGTTTATGTACACCAATCTCGTGGTTACTTATGTTCTGTCATGTTGCATGGTAAACGCGTTCGTATCTTGTTCCCTCAGTTTCCTTTTCCCGTTCGTCGGATCCTCGTCGTCGCCCGACTGGGCTGTTCCACTGATGCGGTTGACACGTGTACGAACCAGTTCGAGTGTGTGTGCCCACAGTCTGGATTGCTTGCAGCTCGCAATTCCCATATGCATTTTTTAGCACAAGCGAGGAGGCTGAGCACAGAGTCCTGGCCATCACGCTCGGTTCCTATAATGCTAGTGACAGACGGTGTTGTAACAGAAACAAATCCATAACGGTGACGCGCAGCTTATCTCGCAAAGAGGCAAAAATCGGCCTAAATTCTCAAACAGAGCCAATAAATCAAAATAAGCCATTGCACGCAGGTTAGAGTGCTTCAGTACCTCAGTCAGGGTTGAAGTTGGCGCTCGTCATGGTGCTAGAATACACGATGAAGCCAAAACCAACTATGCACGAGTCTAAACCCTGTGTCTGCACAAGTACTTGTGTGGAAAGAATGTATTCAGTTGTAAAACACAGTGAGCTGTGTTACAGGCTCTGAGCAAACCTCATTTAGGCCAGAGTCACCCGGCGATCCCACATGGAAACAGTGAGCTGAATGCAGCGCCGGATCACTTGTCACAAAAATGCGTGCGAACTGCCAGACAATGTCAACACCACTCACTGTTGATCGTGTTGACAAAGAGGGAGAACGAATGAATCCCGATGATTTGAAGTGGGGGAGCTGAGTAAGAGGGACAAGAAGCATTTGCGATGCGAAAGATACACTTGACCCGTAAATGATAGCTTCATCGCTCTCCAATAATTTATGGATGGACGGGGAATCCCATGTGCGTTACAGAGTATGTTGACTTGAAGTGATCACCACAGCAACAGCGCGTTATCTCGTTGAGTGACCTAGACGCACGTGACAATGGAAACAGTCATACATACGCGCGCTCAATAGCCGACACCAAGCATCGTGTCTAGGCCCAAATAAGTCCAGTCAGTAGATGGCAGGCAAATGACAGCCTTCTGCCACAGTTCATAGTGCAGTAAAGGGGCATAGATCGTAGTTAGTTACGCATTTGGCGGATCAGCAACCAATGAGGTAGGTCACTCACAGACACAGAGAGCCAGAGTTGCAGTATGGTTTACACTGAAATTCGAGAAACAGCGGGTGGACCAATACAGTACCCATGTGCCTTTCACAAGGAAACAGATTTAAAGCGGCTCCTGCATGGTGTAAGCAACGTGCCCAACGAGTTTCAGCGTTTGTAGCCTCTAAAGAAAATACCTATCACAGCTAGCATTTGAATGAGTCAGGTGGATACTTCAAGCACACACAAGACAAATTTCCAGATGAATAAGTATTAATCGGGGTATAGGAAACAAGGACGAACGAGAGTTGTAGTTAATGCAAACCGTGGAGCTGAAAAGGCTGAGAGATAAGTTCGCTTCTAGAGTTTTCCGCAGCCGAATTTAATAAATGCGCATAGACAAAGAAGGAACTATCATTTTCCCACAGAATTTGCACCTCTTTGCACGTAGAAGCTTAGTGACTAAAACGGTGTGGTTCAGCGCATCGAAATGTGTAGTCTCAAGAACGAGAGTACATTTTGTCAACTTGGCAGTGAAGTTGCACATGCAGCTATCAAATCATCCGCTGGTGAGTGTGTGTGTGTGTGTATGAATGGAAGCGAAAGACGTGCTGACTATATCACTGTGACGCACGTCAACGTCCACATACCTGGGATGCTGACCTCGCCTGAAGCTGAATGAGTGACTGAATACTCTTATCCACGAAAGCGGTTAGTATATAGGACGACGGTTGAATGTCGATCAAATGGAGTCATAATCACAAACCCCAAAGCCACGTGTACTAATTCCACTACGGTTTATCTTTGTACGATTCAATGTGTCACCAGATTCCAGCCTGCAAAACGATCATTCTGTGAATACGGGCAGCGGTGGTTATTGCAATGAGCAATCATAGCAACCGCGTAAGTTCAAAGTCGCGTGCTGCAATTTCGTGCTGGTTAACGAGCCATGGTTTAAGCAACCACGCAGTGACGCTCATAGATAGGAGTAGTTGCAACACGGGATTCAGCGACATGTTGGTCGAGATAGTGGAGTACGATATAGCTAATCAACAGTCGTTCAGCGTGGTAGACAATAGCCGCCTTCGTTTTGCAGCCTCAACGAAGGGTCGAGATAACGAACGGATGGATTTACTACAATTCATTCGCAAGCCCAAGTAGACGGGTGCAAATCTCAATCAGCGATACTAAATCCACAGTTTAATCCCATCACGATCACCATAGTCCCTTAGCCTGAAGGGAGAGTGAAGACTGCTGAGAAACTGTTCCACAGTTTGGGAAATCGCTCTCCTCTCCAAACACTACATGTCAGTTTCGTTTAAATTTGGACTTTTCAGGTAGATATGGCCAAAGTAGCATATCGATATACAAAGATCGATCAGCAAATTTAAAAATGAAGAAATTCTTTGACACTAAAATATAGGAAAGGTGGAGATGCCAGCTCTAAATGGAAACGGGGAAGCTTTGTATCATCACCACATTTACTAGTTAATCCGTTTCAATCGGACTAGAACAGCTCCCGTAAACAACTGACAGATTAGAACTGTATCAGCCAGCAGTTTGTAAGCTTAGCTATGGTTAGTGCCATTACGCCAGACGTAACCTCGATGTCATCCATAGTTCATCAAATTCACCACAGAACGATAAGGAGTACATATTCCAACAGATCCCATCAGAGTTGCCATCCAACTTTCAAAAGTAGATTTATCAAAGGAACGAGAACGAAGTAGTTCCGGATGGGTTTCGCAGCAACAGCGGTAATAACTTGTTGCAGAAACACAAACAAACGGAGCAAAAACAAAAATGTGCTCGTCGACTTGTGTAGAATATGGCGACAGATTTTGCATCACCTATGCAGGTCAAATAATAGTGGGCGGACCGCGGTGTGCGAGTAGGAGACCAGAAATAGTGAGTTTCAGAGCCGATCCAGGAATGTTGAAACAGAGCGCACTTCGTAATAGATAAGAACGATAGCAATCAGGATACATAAGGAGCCATACAAGTGTATGAACTCAGTAGGATCACGAGGGTGTCATAAATCATCAACACAAGTGTGAAGCACTCGGACACCATCGAAAGTTGGTAGCTGTGGTTGGCACAGAGAACCGCGAGAGTCAGACTATCTACGCAGTAAAGAACAATACAGGGTGGAAAAGGTGAGAACCTCGATTGTTCCGAAGCCAGTCCCTATTCCCCAACACGTATCACCAATCTGCGGTAAAGGTACTCCAAAGTTATGTACACGGCAGCAGACTAGATATGCCGTGTGCTAAGACGGCTTCGCGCAGTTTACGACAACCGAAGTCGAACGTTGCATGAGACGCAAAACTACGATTTCCATCTTACACGCCAGCATCAGCGAAAATACCTACTCACCTCTGAAACGTAATCCAGTAGTTGACGAGTTGCCGGTGCCAAAGCTGACAAACTTCGGTTAGAGTCTAAGTATATGGTGACAGGTGCTTGAGAAGTACTCGAAGGGGTGTCGCCCTTGGGTGGCGCCGGGGCAGGCTGAGTAATGCGAATGGATCCATCACCGGCACAAGCAATGCGTGTGCCGTCCGCGTAAAATTCGGCGATAAAATCGGCTGGAGGACCATTCTCCATCAGCATACATTTGGCTCGTTGAGCAAACAGAGTGATTTTGGGTGTGTGTGCGCGGACCATTTGTATGAACCTGTGAGAGGATAGAATAGAGAAAAGGATGCAGTCACACAAGCTCAGTATGAACTAAGCACAAGCACAAGCGTCCGGGGAGCACATACGAAGGTCTTAACGCACACGTGTGCATAAAAAGAAGCACTCGGTTACGACAATAGACCTTGGATGGTGAATGACAAGCGAGGTGTTATTCAGAGGATGTGATTACATGCTTTACTGTCAACGTGCTGTAGTCCCTCCCACGATGAGCAAGTGGAGCATGGCCAACTGGGGCAGTCATGCCTGCCATCAGCCACAGAAAAGTACAATGGGTAGTAAAAACGGAGTGTAACGACATGAGTTTATGACGAATACAAAGGAGAGAGAAGTATTGCAAGATCGCAGTTAGTTATTTAATCAAACTAAATGCCGGTCACCGTCCTAGTGCAAGGAAGTATGACTACCGAATAGGAACGTGTATCGCAAATGAAAAACGGGTGTCTACACAAACTAGAAACTCATGTTGCAGTGAGGAGCTGTATGCACCCATGACCATGACTTAAGAAGGCTAAAGTGAAATGGTGAAAAACAATCAGAAAGTGGACCCACTTAGTGGCAAATTGATACTTTTTCCAATACTTTTCAGGCAAATCTACCAGCTTGTGGTAAGAAATGATATCTCCAGGTTGAGCTGCGGGGGGTCCACCTACGAGTGATGCGTCGGAGGGAGATGAGCCACTAGGTTCTTCGAAGAGGCCGCATGTGTTCAGAGGGACGCCTTTTCCGCAACCAGGCTGGTAAATTATCAACCGATCTCCGGAAGGGCTAATACCCATCACTTCCGACACAACGGGCATTGAACGCACAGAGGGCTGTGGGGGACCCTGAGAAGCCTGTCTCGGTAAGCAGTCGTCGTCGCGGATGCCCGGTTTGGGAACATTTCCCCGAAGAAATTCAACACAAACAGACTCATCCTCCAGTATGTTAATTACAGCAAGTTTCGTGTATGTTCTCATGGGTCGTAATCGCTGGCTATTGAGAGGTGGGGGAGGGGCGTGCTTGGCTTTTGAGGGGCATGCATCAGCGGATGACTGAGACGCCAAACAGGGACGAAGGGGTTGATCACAAGGGGCTTTGTCCAGAGTAGTGGCCGGACGAGACAAGGAAGATAACGAGAAACCGGAGAGGCTGGTCCCCAAGATTTCCTTGTTCGCTGACTGCCGCCAATGTTGAAGTGAACATGTTGGGTTAAGACCTAGACTCGAGTGACTGATCTGTGATTGTTCAATCAAACAATCGGATGGATGCCGATTGAGGAGGATTCGAGGGTTTGTAGAACATTCAGGAGGGCTCGCTTTTCGTGATTCACCGACTAAATCGTGCGTACAGGGAGGGGAGGAAGAAGCCTGTGCGTGTGAGGAAGTCGCGGGTGGGAGGGGACCACGTGAGTCAGGTGTGACTGGGGGGTGGGTTTGAGAATCACTTTCAACCATTTTGTGTGCAGAGACTGGAACAAGATTGTTGGTGAGGCAGCCCAGTGGGCTCCTTGACATGGAGTCAATACCACTGTCGTTGGAAACTTCCTGGGGAAAACAAAGATAGGGCAATGGAGGATAGCAACGAGGATACAGAACAAATCGCACGATAAACGAAGGAAACATCCTGGACCAGATTAAAACCGACGTTCTATAACGTAAAAAAGTGAGATACGGAAATACGAAAAATCAATCAGCATAAGGAAAAAATAATATGCTAAACTTCTTGATCCATATACCGCTTCAACTAGAACCAAGACCTAGTGCTCCGACGCGCTGGTGATCCGCATAGCAAACGTCTGTGACTGTGGTGGATGGTATCAACATAGACAAGTGATGGTAGTTGTAAACTCAATAAAAATTTTGCGGAAAGTAGACACGACAGCGCCATCATTACACACCATCATTACCACGCCATCATTACCAGGAATACCGTGTCCAATGCAAAAAATAAGATTTATGAAAAAAGGTGAGATGCTAAATTTTAAAGAATATAAAATAAAGAAAAAACACGTACCATAATGCTTAGCATCATACCATGTTTCGAGTATGGGATCGTGCTTCGAAGGGAAGCTGACCGACAGGAGTAGAGAGATTCGTAACATAAATGCCGTTCAGGTCATATTTTCGCCAGGTCAACAAGTGTATCCAACCAAACGTGCTCATTGCCCATGGGACTGCAGGCCAGTATTCGTGAGACACCAACCGACGTCACATTATAAATAAGGGTCTTCATTTTTCTTGTCCACGTCATGGTTTGGCCACCCCGCTTCTTCTTCCTTCCACGACCCGGTCGCGGAATCGGTGTATCCGCATACGCAATACGTGGCCCAGCCAACGGAGACTGGTGCGTGATATAATGGCGGTGAGCGGTTGAATCGCTCTTCCCATCCAAATACGAGACGCTGAACCCGCCCACCGCTCGCGCGGTGCTCTCAACAGACATGAGCTAAATTGCGAAGGCAGTGATGGTCAAAGGTGATTAGCCTGTTTACTTCTGCCGATCTGATGGGCACGTTTCAAAACCATACAGGAGAAGTGAACCCATGGTGCGCTATAAACTCGAGACTGATGTCGCTTTAGCCCTACAAGTGGCGGAAATTGGCAAAAGCGCCCAGAGCTCTTGCTACACGGTTCGTGATTTCATCTACAATCCCAAGGGTGATAATATAACTGCTTATATATCTGAATCTCTGGACGACATCTAGCTGATCACTAAAAAGGGTCAGCGCAGAGGTGGGTCCCTGCCAATCTTTGAAGTTTGCATTTCGGAGATGCAAAGCATAGCCCAAAACGATTGGCAGCCGGTGCTAATTTGTCTAGCGATCTTTGGAACATAGGTGAACTGTCAAAGATTAGGATAATGTCGGTTGTGTACGCCAAGTCAAGAAGTTGCTCACAAGGAGGCAGTTCACACCATGTAGATCATTCCCAGTGAACGCTGTTGCCGTTACTTCGTTGATTGCAAAGTTAAAAGGGAAATATGACAGCGGACATCCTGGTCTTACGCCGCTGGAGATATTGAAATGCGGCGACGATTTGTCATAAAACCTCACTCTACCCGAAATACGCACGTATACCGTTTTTCTAACATATTTACCGGGCACATCCTTCCAGAGCAGACAGTCCCAATGAACGGAACGCCCGTTGAGGAACACGAACCCGTTGGATCGCCAATAAACAGTGGTGTTCCGACAAAGGACGTAATGTGAAGGTGTGGTCAATACGCGCAGTGTTGATTGCCATATAGCAACCATCTGCAACAAGTGGGCGGAAGAACCACCGGCTGTGGGAGTGGCGTGAAATGAGGGAAAGCTGACAGACATAGAAAGCTGAGGGGTGCCGAGACCACTGAAATGGACATTAGGCGATAAGCAACTTTCTCGATTTAAGTAGAAAACCGTTGAAACCGCGTGTGTTTACACTAAGCTCTGTGGGTCAAGTGTCAACAAAGCGCCACTAGTGAGTGAGGCGTGTAATCCACAGTAACAAGCGTAATCAAATATACGTTTGACCAGGTAGACACATGCACCATGGTTACAAGCAACAAACTATTTTCATCACCGGGAATAAAATCCGTCCGATCACAGTACAGAGGAAATGGAAAAGCGCCGTTATCATAAGTGTTGTCATAGGGACTAGGAAAGGCGGTTGACAATGGAACTGATAAACATAGAATGACCGCTGGTCAGAGTCGTGATCCGGTTAACAGGATGAACAGAAGGACAGCAAAAGTACGTGTGAGCGAATCAATGTAATAACTTAGCTCTCCATGCGGTGTGAGATTTAAAGAAAGTAGAGAGTCCACATAAAGTAGCAGGCATGATCAGAAAATTGACACGTATTCACAACAGCACCGCATGGCCTTCGTATGCCTTGGGCGCTCAAACGCAGCTTCAGCACTTGATCCGAAGAGATTGATAACCGCCTTTTCTTCTCAATAATACGACCAATGCTTGAGTACGGTTCACCCGCATACTGTCCTATCACCCGCGGTGAGATAAAAAGGATTGAGCGGGTACAGCATGTGGCCACCAGGCTGATCCCCAATTTGCGATGTGCGCCGTATAAAGACGGGTGTAAGAGACTGGGGCATTACGCCCTATCTTGTCGTCGAGTTCGGGTTGAGCTCATCATGACGCACTGGATACTACATGTTGAGACCGCTATTGCATTTCTGCACACCAAGCAGCACATGAGGACACCGGTAGCAGCTTGTAGTATCGAAGATGAATCGAGTCACTCACCAACTCTGCTTCGAGTGGAGATTAGTAAACGTATGGAACAACCCGCAGCATCAAAGTCGGTGTCGGAATTCAAGAAATTCCAGAACAAACACTTCGCCGATACAAAATATCTCGAGCGCACTCAAACATAACGGGTCATTGTACCTGAGTGACATTAGATGCAGCTACCCAGAGATATAATTTCTTGCTGTTCCAACTAGTATTCATGTTTAGATGTTGAGGGTACCATAGTTTCAACCACTTGATCATGGCGGACGATGGCGGTAGAATGGAGCCGTACTTAGTGCTAAAGGCTGCTCACATCTTACGTGTAAATGGCTGAAACTGAAGAATGATAAGAGTAGGCTAGTGGATTAAAATAAGTTACTGGGTCTAAGGACAGCACAATAACGACCAGCCCAATAAGATCATAGGGCAGGGAAGCGTCAGATGAACAATGCTGATACTAGGTGACAGAATGCATTACAGGGTAGCTACAATATTTCAGGGGAAAATATGCGCTAAATATATGTCAGCAGTTAAAGTACGTAGTCAAAGTAACTTACCATGAGTCGCTGATTCGTAGTGGCTTTTTGCAATATGAACGGATGCTGGAGAATCGATCGAAGCTTGATCCGTTCCTGTGGCTCTCGCTTCAAAAGACGACTGATGAGATCAGTGGCTTCGCGAGACAAGTGGGATGGCAGTTCATAGTCGACGGCCAACACGCGATTCAATGTGGATCGCACTTCACGAGTATCGAAAGGTGGACGACCGACAAGGAGGGTGTAGAACATACAGCCGAGGGACCACACATCGGTTTCCAAGCCTTGCAGACCGTGACTAGCTACCTCACTGCAATGGAACAGCAGGGAAATAGTTGGCAATACGGGAGACACAATAAAGTCTGGACTGGATAAATGGTCTTGAATGTGTGCAAATGCAGGCATATGTTTGATCAAAACGGAAAAAGCGATGTTCGTGGTGGATAAGCAAAACTGGCTGTTGAACTGTTCGCTGAGCTTGGCAAGTTCGTTGCAAACGTTTCGTCACCAATCGAGGTGACATCATCAGTGCGTAATTGAGTGGTGTGCATAGCGTAGAGGAGTCTCGGTGAGAGTGCCGAGGCTCCTCTATGCTATTGCCAAGCTCAGCGAACAGTTCAACAGCCATATGAACAACGTGAGCTACCAGTCTTCAATTCTATGAGCAAAACTATTAGACAACGACAAAAAAACAGATGATGTTCTCTAACAGCCTGGTCGACTCCTGATCTGGTTTACAAAAGTACAACTGGGGGCTAGCCCGCTTCTCTGCAAAGCAATAAGGTGCGTGATAATAGGCAGCCATGTTGATCCACGGCGGACACCAATGACTCAAGCGGCTAACTCGTACGGAGGAAGTCATGGACTAACATGCAGAAAGACCCGGTGGATACGCAATGCTGACGAGTCCGAAAGACGACGAAAGGTGAAGACAGCCTAATTGAGGATTGCAGTGATGATCCTTCACAAAACCCTTATTCTTACTCTCTGACAATGACCTAACGAGGTGAGAAGCGTGGGTTAGAAGTGAATCACTCATGTATATTGCAATTTTAAGGAAATGGTACATCCAATGCACGTGGACAGTACTAGTGCAGTAATAGAAAACTCACGGTGATATGTAGTTTGGTGTCCCGCATAAAGTTTTATGATCTTCTCCAGGCTCAATTTTGGTAGCCAAACCAAAGTCGGCAATTTTCTGAACAGAAAATATTGGTGAATGGCGTTTAGCAAAGAGCATAGAATCATAATGAGTGTAGACAGTCAACTGATCAGAATGCGGCGTATATCACGAGAGGCAACCCCGCAACGATGGATACAGCTTAGCGTGATAGTCAATGCAAACAGGACAACGTTGAGAAACGAGTCATCGGTAGTGGCATCTTCTAAAAATATTTAAGTAACAATCCTGATGAATCGTAAGAAAAATGGTGGAAAATTTGAAAAGAATCTATAAATTATTGGTGGTGATGGAGACTATTACAAATGAGGTGTAAGTATACTGAAAGTAGTCAAACAGAAGTTGGCGCAATGGAATGGTTCACTATAAGATAAAGCGCAAACACTTACCACTTTCATGTCCTTAGTGAGAAGCAAATTGGCCAAAGTTAAATCCCGATGCAGAATATTATGTGAATGTAGGTAAAGCAGCCCGTTGATTAGTTGTTTCAGGTAATGACGAGCTTAAAGGAAAAAGAAGACAATGGTTCGAGAATGGCAAAATCAAAATATGCGTTAGAGGGGTAAGTGCACTTTGAGTGCGTGGCCCAAGCTCGTATGATTAGTGGGGTAGAATGCAGAGAAATCGTCGGCAACCGTAGTTGAAAGCATCAGTCGTATTCTGTGTGATTATCAACTTACTAACAAGTAATCGACAATGAAGGAAATGAGTTTAGCTCCCCAGCTGGGCACATAAAAAGGAAATCTTAAATACACTCGGCAAAGTAAAAGCAAGTCAGCTTGAAGAAGAGCATCAGGTCAAAAGGCGCAAAGCACCAGTGCGAGGTGTGAACACGGTGGTGGAGCTACTTAAAGTCATATGGTACAGGTTCACTTTAATGAAAGAGAATGATCAAAATAGCTCACCCACGTTCTCGGACACTGGACCATTTTGCCGTATGTATGTTTGTAATTCGCCATTATGGCATATTTCCAACACAAGGTAGACATAGTTCGCGTCCTCGAAGCAGGTATATAACTAAATGGATTGAAAACGAGCGTGCGTGATTGACAACATGTGTAAAAGAACCAATCGTCACTTATGGACTAAGGCCACGTAGGCTGTTTCGATCTACACATATGCTGGCTGATTAAAGCAACATTCCCGGCTTATATAATTCATGAAAAAGTTGAAAATTACATGGCTATCTGAGTACTTCCAGCGTTATCAAAATGACAATGTGGCACACAGAGGTAGTATGAATGCAAAACATCTATCGCCATTGTCATCCAGTTACTACTCTGCCAACAGAGTAGCAAATGTTAGTGAAGCTCATGGCGATCGCATGCCGAGGAAGATGTGGGAATATTGCTCCAACACAAAATTATTAACCAAAAGCGCCGGTAAAAATGGGATTGCCCCATACGGTATTACGCAGTTAATTGATTATAAACGGACAAACTGTATGCCCATTGTGGAAGAGAAAAGGATAGCCGTTGATGTACCATAAATAAACTATCCCAACTGCAAAACAAAGAACATACTAGGTTAAGAATATGGATCTAAAATGTCGGAATATTCGCTAGGGTGCAGATCAATTTAAGTAAAGAAGGAAATAACAACCAGGCGATTTGGCCCAATATGTAATGACATTCATGCTATGTGCTGATTACTAAGACGATCAGCCTTTGTAACTACGATTGCGCCAACGGAGCAACGGATCTACGGGGTAAACTGCACAACAGATGATCTCAGAATTTTGAACATTCAGGTTGGGAACGCAAGACTACCAATACAAACCAGCGATGCTTTCCAAGGAACACTTACGTGGCGCTCAAGCATTAAAACGGGAGCTCATAAGCGACCAAGGGCCGAAAGCAACATATGAAAAGTGCGGCTGCCAGTCAGTAACCATAACAGGGAAACAACGCTATGTAAAAGAGGATGGTGCTTAACGCATACCTCAAGAATTGAAGGATGCTTCAGTCGGCTATGGATTTCCACCTCACGTCTAACGCGATTGGCCAATCCATGCTGGATCATTCCTTTTTTATCAATCTGGAATTAAAAAATGCGTTTAGATAGAATGGAACGCCATTAAAATCGATGAAAAATTAAACTACTCATAGACAAAAGTAGTAAAGCAAAACCAAAAATAAACATGTAGAGGTCAGGGGTGGAGACAGCGTAGGAAACTGCTTGGTTTGTGCTAGAATAGAATAAAAGTTACTATTCTTAAAAAAGATTATTTAAACTGGGACATGAACATCTATACGATGGTGAGAGAAGAGCAACTAACCAATGAACGATCAACTGTGGATTAGACCATCGTAAAGTGAGTGACTGGACAAATGAGTTTAACAAAAACGAAAAATGGCCTTGGAGGCAGTGACTCGATACTTAAACCGCGCCAAGGTTGGTGACTCGGTCACAGAAGTTGCCGCGAATGCCGTTGGCTGAACACTCACAATGACGCTTATGCAAGAAGGGGCGGCATTGCACCCCTCAATGGACAGATGGCGAGTCCCACGAGAACGGAACGGTAATCTTGTGTGCTACAAGATGAGCGGTGCAAGTTAGAATGAGTGTGGTTATGACTAATCCCTTTTGAAATAACCGGGTTTGATTAGATCGGAACTTATGTAATTCAGGACTACTCCGATTCGGCGACCAGCGAATACAACATGAAAACTATCCTGCTATAGCTCACGAAAGGCTAGTGCAGTAGACAAGATGAATCAACCGTGAAAGCTAGGGTGCACAAGTCAGATTTATAAAGTGATAATTGGTAAGCTCTAGAACGCCAGCTGAGCAAAGAAAGATCAAGTGCCGAGAAGAGAAGATCAAACGAAGTAGCCAGTCACTAGTGGAGTCGCATGATGTCGTTACCAAGCGGTCCGTAGATAAAATAGCTATAGGATTTAAGAGGCATACAAAAAATCTCCGTTGACAGAAGCAAACAAGACTGGACACGAATTGGTATGGTGGAATACTAGTTTGCTAATTCATGATGATAGTTGTGAACCAAACGCAAAGCAGAAAAAATAGAAATAGTCACTGCCAATATACATGTAACAATATGAAGAGAATTACACCCGTAAAACACTAATGGTCCAAGTGGATAAAATTGTGTAGTGCAACTGGACAGAATATTCAACGTGGGATAGGACGCCATGAAATAACTGATGGGAGATGAGTATAAAGAGCGAAAACAAGTAGCTTACCATTTTAATTGCAACTTCTTGCCCTGTAATAATCGATTTGGCTCGATATACCTGAGCAAAGCCACCACGGCCAAGCAATTCAAATACTTGAAAGTCCTGCAAAGGCAATCAGAATGGAAACTCAGAAGTCTGCTGAGTGTTTGCACGTAGAGCAGAAAAATGTCCAGAAGGGGACGATGATGTTCACTTACGGTCAAACATGTTTCTGGATAATCCAGCTCCATGTGTAAAAGGTTGACGTAAACTGAGCAGGCGTAACTGTCCAGAGTAAAGTGACTGCAACAATGAACGACCAGCTCGGTACTCGAAGGTGTGCGAAATGTTCCAGGAAATCGAACGAGCAAGGTCGTCAAGGCAACGCGCGTGGCCTGTCGCCGTGACAAACAACACGCCAAATGTGATACGGGCAGAGGGCCGCACAACACGAGCAATCACACACCACGTGTACGTGTGAGGCAGGTGCCAGTTAGGGAACGCCCTAGGGTAGGTGTGTCGAGCTTTGAATGGCTGAGTGAGTAAGAGGACTTAAAAACCGTTCGAGACGCAGAAGAAGGGGGCAGGAAAAAGCGACAAGGCATCTAAACCAATCAGGCGAGAGGGGAAAGGGCCAGAATGGCCGTATTGGTGATTCACAGATTCACATGATCTCGGTCATTTGGAGTGACGTTTTCATTGGTGGATTCCGTCGGACCTAACTCCCATTGGGTTGAGCACATGAAGCGCGTAAGATCATGGTAAGTAGGGGGACACGCATTGGCAAAAGTCGGGCACCAACTATGTGTTACATAAATAATGCCTTCAATTAGATGGATAACGAAGTTGTGGTGAAATGTGACAAGTTGCAGTTTATGCTGAAAAATAAGTAAGCTCGTATACGGAGGAATTGGCAGCTAAGGTTAACCAGATAGACAATCCAAACAGTTAGGCACGAAGAAAACAAACAACACATACATGAAGGTCCTATGACTTCCGCGGTGAAAGAAATTAAACATACAGATTAGGCAAACACAGCGAGGTTCAGAAGTGAGGGAGAGACGATAAAGAGAATAACATCAGTGCCCGATAGCACAGGTGCACGACGATGAAATGTGGAAACCACCTATTGTGCCGAAAAGCTTAACTTGTGGATCATCATCAATACACGAGAGTTGAGGGTGAGAAACACACTTCAGCTAATGTGCTGCAATACAAAAATGCAAGGTATAAAAAATACACAACAAAAAATGCAAAAGCAGGCACATAATGTTAAATATTATATTATGCAATTCGCATGAGATTGCAATTGGAAGAGGAATATAAAAGGGAGGGTGATGGACAAAGAAACTCAAACATAAACGCCATTGGGGCCGGCTCTTCGCCTTATCAACAACTGTGCCCAACCAAACGTGTTCATGGTCCTTAGGACCCCAGCCAGGAAGTCGGGATGCACCAACCGACGCCAACTTCGAAGTGAGGGTTTCCTTTCTCTCGACCAAATCATGGCTTGCCCCCTTCCTCCGCTTGAACCGCACTCCCGGGGGCGGGAGTCGATGTGCTGGCTTGCACAACACGTGGCCCAGCCAAAGGAGCATGGTGCATGATATAATAGCGCTGAGCGGTTCACTCGCTCTTCCTGCACCAAATACACTATGCCATGGACTCTCACTGCTCACACAGTGCTTCCACCAGACATGAGCTAAGCAGCGAAGGCAGCGATGATTGAACGCAATGAGCCTCTGTCGACCTGATGGGCCAGGTTTCGCAACCGTACGGCAGGGTTGAGCAGACGCTTGCGTTATAAACTCTGCCTTTCAGGGCGAGAGTGATTTCGCGTCTGCGCCACAGGTGGCGGAGACAGGAAAACACACCTCGAGCTACTGCTTTACGGTTCCTAACCTCATCTTTGATCCCACAGTCGCTAAGATAGCTGCCCAGATACTTGAATTCCTGAACGACTTCTAGCTGACCACCACCAAGGGTCAGCGCAGAAGTGGGTTCCCGCCACTTTTGGAGGACTTTGCATTTTGATGGAGCAAAACATAGACCAAAACGACAGACAGATAGTGCTAATCGGTCCAGTACTGCTTAGCATGTTTGGGAGCTGTCACAGATAAGGGCGATATCCTCCGCATACTCCAAGTCAAGAAGTCGCTCACCAGGAAGTAGCTCCACACCTTCTAGGTCACGAGGAGCGAACACTGTCTCAATAACTTCGTCAATAGCAAAGTTAAAGAGGAAAGGGGACAGCGAGCAACCTTGTCTCACACCGTTAGAGATACTGAAGGACGGCGACAGTTTTGCCATAAACCCTCATTCTACCCGAATTATGCACCTGCAGCGCTTTGAGAATGTTTACGTATTTATCAGGCATACCATTCTCAGCAGACAGCCTCAAAGGGCACAATGATCGACTGAACCGACGGTAACTTTGATGTCGAAAAGCAGGACAACGGTGGGTCGCCAATAAACATGGCGGTACTACAACCATGGATGCAAAGTAAAGATGTGGTGGATGCAGCCCCGACCTCCACGAAACACGGCTGGTTCTTTACGGATCTGGCTTTCACGAGTGCATTCCGAACAGTAGCCCCCTTCGAAACTTGGGACTATGACGGAGCGGCTCCAGTCTATCGAGATAGTCTTTTGCTCTCAAAGTTTCACTATCAACTCATGTAAATCACGCACAAGAGCAGATCCCCCGAATTTGAAGAGAGCTCGGGGAGTTCTATCTACCCCTGCGGACCGATGCAATTTCAACAATCTGATCTCACGTTCGACTTGCGCGTGAGGACGGATCCAAGGCGATGACCTATGGAGAAGGGCACTCAATGCACGAAAAACGAAACGGGAACTCAGGTTGACTAAATTGCTTTGCAAAGTGTTCGGCCCAACGCTTTATGGGTTTTCACAGGCTGTGGATCGGCTGTCTACTCTCGTCGCGTATGGTCGCGTTAACTCCAGGTTTCTTGCTTCTTGTGTCCCGTATCAGACGGAATAACTTAAGATGATTATCAACAGAAGGAGCTGTTTCCATTTCCCAGGCACGATGAGTACCAGAATTCGCAGTCTCTCTTCAGGCTAGCACGCAGTTTTACCCTGAAATTATTACGAGTCTCATTGCATTCTCTTCCAGCCAGAATACGCCGGCGAGCATCCATAAGTTCCAGAGACTTTGTAGAGACCCAATGTCCAGTTTGGCAATTTGATTTGCCACATGAATACATGTTTGCTGATGGTAAGGTTTGGCGAATATGCAACCAGTGGTTTTCGGTGTTCAGCTGGCGCTTACACAGCCCGGATGTCAGCGTACTTTGATACGCATTCAGAACACCTGGCTTCCCCAGTTGACAGGTGTCAATGTAATAAGAGCGACGTTACGAACGTCCGCCGAAACGCACCCGAAGGTCGGCACACACATGCCTGTGATCGGAGTCCACGATCGTGCTTCAAAACGAGCGACAGTTTTGGGCATCGCCTCTCCAGCGGTAACTAATCCCCATGTGATCGATTTGCATCCATGGCTGAGGTGAGGCTGGTGGATGCCAAGTCACTTTCCGGCGGGTGCGATGTTGGGTTAGTGATCGATAGAAAGAGACGAGCCTCTTCACACAGGTGTAGCAACCGCTCACCGTTATCACTGCAGGAGCCCACACCATGTCAGTCATCCAGATGAAGCTCAACAGAGGACAATTTTCCGACTTGAGCGTTTAGATCACTAGCCAACACTACAGTATCCGTGATCCTTCTGTAACAAAAATTTATAAGTTGGTGACAGAAATCATTTTTCATCGAATCAGGACTGCAGTTTGTGGAGGCGTAAGCTGCGATGACAAACAAGCATCGTTCGTCTCCGCGCGACTTCGAAGACTGGAACGAGCCAGCTAACCTAAAGTCGCACATCCGGCTGTTGAATGGGATCCAGTCGATCAAGCAGCTTAAGCCTTGCGACTCAAAACAATACCGACGCCAGCTTGACCGGCATTTGAAGCTGTCATCGCCAGACAAGCGCAATTAGAATGTGCCGCTAATGCCGCATGTGGGGGATCGCAGGGTAAGCACAGGGCTGGACTCTTGCAGGTGGGTTTCCGATAAACGGCAAATATCGATCGATAGGGTCTCTAGTGTGCAGGCAAGTGCTGTCTGTTGGCAAATCTGCAGCAAAGTGCGCACATTGAGGTATGCCAGTCTTAGCGAGGATCGAGGACTCCAAAGTGAAACGGATGAACTGACGTTGACCGCTTGGTTGAACATGGACTTGTCGACTGGAGTGGAGCGGCGCTCTGAGATCGTGTGAGTTAAAACTCGAAGGCAAGCGACTATTGAAGCAAGTTGGGAGAGGGCCGAGAATTGGGTGATTGAAAACGGGTGGATAAAAGTGAAGTTGGAGTGGGACGATAAGGATGAAAAAGCGCAAGAGGGGGAATAAGAAGGCGGGAACGTCTAAGCAGTAGCATCTAAACCCCTATCCGCCCTGCTCGATGCAGCAAAAAGAGCGCCGTTTATTAGCCTCTGTGACGACCAGGGCAGCAAGAGATTGTCAAAAAGAAAAATTCATGGTGTATTCCGTGGGTAGTATACTGTCAGGTTGTCCAGGGCTAGACAGGAGAACGATTAGGGTTCAACCAAAGTCTTTGGTCCGAAAACCTGACCGCAAGGTAGCGGCTTTGGCAGTGGACTGCAATGAGTCCATTTTAAGGAATTAGGGACCACTCTCATTCCAAACCCCAATCTGGAGGGCAAGGAGACTGAGTTTGTCAGGCTTCTAACCATTGACCAATCTGGTAGGAGTGGCTCTGAAGGTGCAAAGCACCACCCAGCATAGCTCAATGGATCACTGAGGCACACAAACTATCGCACCACGTTAAGGTCGTTTCATCGCGATGGAACTTGTGGATAGTAACGTACACGAGATCAAAGCGGCATTAATGTCGCAGTGATTAATTTATAGAGCATATGCAGAATCATCGTATCATATGTTAAACCATGGCCAATCGGATGTGAGTTCTGACTTACCTGCGAAATAATGAAGACAGTCTGCATGGATGGAGGGTCGTTCATCACAGCTTAAGCGAGTGGATAAACCGTAGTTTTTAGAACTTGCACAGGTATATAGTGGAGAAAAAAGACCCCATGAAGTGCTTGGTAGTCGCAAGAAAGGATTCAGAAGAAAAAACAATGGTTAGACCAAAAAAGCCAAAAAGCGCTAAAATCCCTGGTCTCATAAGGAATAATTAACCAGTGAACTGCTGTTTAACCACCTGAAGTGGATGTGAGAAATGGTGTCTAAAAATGTGGCTCATTTGTCTCATAAATGAGGCATGCGGCTACATTAATTCAGAAATTTGCAGACCTATACATGCACAAGGAAGTTGGGTGAAAACAAACAGACAATGAGATGGCGACATATCAAAGATCCACTAGTCAGAAAGGATCATCACTACAACGTGCTCAGCTACAACCGTAGACATCTCAACCATGCAACTCTTGACAAGCTGCGCTGTTGCAAGGATTTGTGAAGTGCAGCTCCTGTCGGGGCCGCTACTACTACTACCACTACTACAACTAACTACTAAACTAACTACTACAACTAATACGACTACGACTACGACTACTACTACTACTACTACTACTACTACCACTACCACTACTACCACCACTACTACCATCCGGCGCGGCCCAAAAATACC